TTTTGGTAGAGAAGGAAAATTATTTGAAGGGGAATATTGGATAAGAGGTTGGTTTGAAGAAGTTTAAAGAAGTTTAAATTAGACCTATTATGATGGATGTTGAAGTAATCGTCACTCAAAAGACGATTGCTAAATTGTTAAGAGCACCAAACCGTGGAAGGTTTATTATGAGCACTAAAGATAACACTTCTGAAGTAGATGCTATCAAGAGGTATTTGTTTTTTAATGTTGGAAAAATCGTGTTCCTCTCAATTTGGAAAATTCAAGAACACGCAGAAAGAATTCAGACTTCTGTTTAAAACTTTAATTGGTTGTTTGATCCCTAGAGAAGGAAGTACTGATCAAATTTCATGGGATCACAAGCACTTCATTTTCTACCTAAAGAGTGAAGATAAGATCAATATCTCTGCATACATCTTCAATCATCTGTGTGAAACCATCAAGGATAGCACAAAGCTTTAGAAAAAGATTGTGCTCTATATAAGATTGTTGTCTAAACTGCTTTATTCGGGTCATCTAATCAATGCTCTTAAAAATTTGCCTGACAATGGAGATCTGGAGGAGATTAATGGAAATATCATGCCTGCTTGTGTTCTTGCTAACATGAAACTTCTGAAGAAGGGTGATGTTGTGGCTACAAAAGCACCTTTATCTGTTAAATGTATCAATCCTAATTATCTCGAGGATTATCATGTCATTACCAAAATGGAAAATCCTAATGTAATCAGATTATACATCGAGAAAGCATTTAAGAAAGGGAGTGGTTATAAGATTCAGAGACTTACCCATTTATCCTACTGATGTGTTTAATCCTTCTAAGAAGATGAAGCAGGTTGCTTCATTTTTCAGAGGGATATTCAGAAACCTTCTAAGAAGAAAGTTTTACATCAAAATCTCCCAAATCAGCTTGAAAATGAGATTGAAGAAGTTATTGCATCTACTGAGTTGATGCCTACCAAAACAAGAAGTGGAAAATCTCCCAAGAACGTTGCTTTTGCTCCCGTCTCTTTAGAAACACCTTTGAAAAATAAGAGATTAAGGAAGTTGTCTGAGATTGAAGAGGAAGAAGAAGAGGATGTTGGTGTGTCTTTAATTAGGAGAGAGGAAGTTGCAATTGTCTATGCTCAAGAGAATACGGTAGAGCTTGTCTTCAGAAGTGCTCAACTGTTAGCATCTGTTATCCTAACACATTCAGAAAAGCATCCAGAATTATAATGTTGTGATAGAAAATGAAACTTCGTTGAGGTTCAGGCTGTAGAAGTTATTGCTAGTTTAAAGTTTGTTGAGACTAAAGCTTCTGGTACTCCTAAAGAACTAGTTTCAGAAGCTGATGTTGAAGAAAATGCTGCTACTTCAGAGGCTCTAAATACATCTATGACAGGTATTAATCTCAAATTTATCTCTGAAGATGATTTTAATTACACCATCCTAAACCACAAATCACCAACCCCCTCACCAATTCCCTTATATATTCCCTCTCTCAAACACCATTTTTCACCTACTGTTGAACCTATTGGTGATCATAATCAGTTAACTTTGGTTTATATTTCTGATCAACCTTCACTTTTGAACACCATGTTCAAACCTCCTATAGATATCTCTAGTGGGAAATCTGCTTCTAGTCCTGAGCCAGTGTATGATGAAGCTGATTTCCTAGCTCACCTTGGTCTCAAATCTTTTAATCCCAAACATGTCTCCATTGAACCCATTCAAGCAGTTTCTCCTCAAATTCAACCTTCTAACAAAACATGTTCTGCTCCTGAAGCTGAACATGTAACCTAAATCCAACAAGAAACTTATTAACCAGAAATTACTCCCTCACCAGAAACTCAACCATCACCTCAACCTTCACGCTAAGCATCACATCATAAATAACCTAGCCCTGATCAGAATCAACCTCAATGTCAAGTCGTATATGAACTTCAGATAGAAACTTAACAAATTATTCAGGATCTATCTCTAGTTTAATTTGCTTATGAACCTAGAGTTGAGTCTGAACATGCTCCTTTTGACCTTTTCACCCTAAAACCTCCCTAAACTTATCTATCCCTGAAAAAAAATCCTCTGGCTCTTCTCATACAAACACTTCATCACTCTCACATTCTATCCAAACCAACATGACTGTAATCAAAAATATCTTCTTGGATAAATTACAGGGTCTGGATGAGAGAAAAGAGTAAAAATGAAACATTCAAGTTCTTTTGGATGAAATGAAATGAAAGGTAATCCCTTTGTTTATAGGCCAAAAGATAGTTCGTTTTAGGAAATAATCCGTATGTAAAATAATTGACCTAGTCAATTAGGTACTTGCAATAATCGTTTATTGTTGCTCAAATAGGAAGATTTTTATAGAGTTGTTACTATTCATTAAGACACTATCATAATCAATTATGGACTCGATTTTAAATCATCTAACCAATTAAGTATTTGTTATAATTGATTTGATAGTTCAAAAGCTTATCCTAATCAACCGGCAAGACTCAAAAAGAATTTTTTTGGTGATTTTGCTTGATAAAAGAGAAGCTTAAAAAACAATTTTAAGTGTGTGCGTGTTTTAGCCATGCTACTTACGAAAATGCCCTTGTGTCTTTACACTACATTGATCACTCAGATAGACACATTCAAGAGAGCTTTCACACTTCCTTTCTTTCACACTCTAAAGCTTTAAGTCATTTTGCCAGATATACCAATCAAATAAGCACTTCAATTGAATTTTCTTGAGGCTTGAGATATCTTCAGATTAGTTACCATCAATAGAGAGTGAAGATATAAGTGATTATAAACCCTAATTATTCATCTTGATTTGCATGAATAGATTGATCTACCACTTTGGACATCTTTGACTGCTTGAACTAGCATATCTTGCTTACATATGAGCATTGATGAGTTCCTGATTATACCTACAAGCACATAGTTCCTCAAATACTATGTTGTAGTTCTCTTTTGACTACTTTTTCAAAATCTCTTGCGGTGTTCAAGTAGCCTGATTCGTAAGCACATCAAGATTTCTTTCTCTTTATATGTAACGAAATTTCCTTTTTCTTCATAGATTTTCTTATCATTTTCCAAGTTCCACGTGAATACAATTATGGAAGAATCAAAAGAATATATCAATGTCGAGTATGAATGGATAATTGTTGGTTTTAATTCTATGGAAACTGCTAGGTTTTTTTTTTTCCATTCCTCGCTTTGCCTTTGACGAATGCAATTGACGTCGCGTTTTAGGTTATGACCTTATGGACAATGAAATAATGTAGTGGTTGGAATATGGGCTTAATGCATACACTTATGATTGTTGTTTTTTATATGTTTGTAGTGAAGTTAGGATGAACCGAAGTAACCACCAAGAAATTCTCACTATTATCAACTAGCGTCCAGACGGGCACTCGCGTGCCCGTCTGTCCGCTTTTTTATTGCACACATATAAATATAAATGATATATTTGTATTTAATATTAATTTTACATGGAAGTTATGTGGGAAATTATTAGTAGAGAGTTATATGAAAGATGATAGTAGTAGTTCAATGGAAGTTATTGTGTAAGTTATATATTTACATTATAAAATCTGTATACCTATTTTGTTACATTTTAACTACCTATTATGATATAGACTTTAAATGATATAACTACATATTGAATGATATTAATGCTTTTTTTATTTATTTATTCAAGGAGCCTAAAAAAATTAAACTTGTGATTAGGAACGTATACGGGTTAGGTTGGGTTAGATTTGGCCTAACTTATTATTCAATCAGTTCAAATTTTAATGAGTTGAGTTTTTTGTCCAACCCGCAATATCATTATCGAAACCAACCCGTCCCTTCATACATTTGGTAGGGTTGAATTTGTGGGTTATGCTTCAAATAAAAAATATTTTTTATGATTCTTTTTGTCGATTTAAAAAAATGTAATACAATTCAATACAGTCATAATTATTTATATCGCTCAAATTCGATGAAACAAATCATATAAACATCAAATAAAATTCATCAACCTGACATAACACTTTATAATAGTATAAAATTCATCAAGACACATCATTTCCATAAAATTCATCACGACAAATTATTTTTATAAAATACATAAGTCACATCAATGAGTTAGGTAAATAAATCTGAGTATTGCAAAAATTAAATCCTATATCCGAACTAAAACTATACGGGTTAAATATATCCATAAATAAATGAATTTGGATAATTTATGAGTTGATTCAAATTTAATCAACATGTTTGATGGTCGACCCGCATCCTGTACACCCTGACTGTGATATTAGAAAAACCATTTATATTTTAAGGTTATCAATGTCTCATTCTCGATTATCATGGTCATTTAAGCAAAGAAGACAATTTCTAAATTTTAATAGTATGTTGATTTATATTTGGCAAAAAAAATGTCTATAGTCACAAATAACTTGATATGAAAATTTTAAGGGTAAATACAAAAATAAAAGTCTTAAAATATTAATTCATGAGAAGAACAAATAAGATATGAGCACTAAATTCTAATTCTTTATTGTTAAATTTTTATTTCATTTTTTAAATAATTATTATAATTATAACAGTTATAGTTCTGCACTTTAAGAACTTATCATTTTGTTGCAACCATCATATTATTGCAAATGTAAATTTTGTTATATAATATTGGCCTTTAGAATCACCCAAATTTCAATTTTAAAATTGAAGAAGATCTTTTCAACGTAAATGAATATAATTTAGATATGCTTGTATGAATATTTGGTGTAATATCATCTAGTTAGGACTTCATTTGAGGTGAGCATTCTCACTTATTTTTTTGACTTTTAGATATTGCATGTAAACTGTTTGATAAATGTTCTTCATGCTTCTTTATTGCTGTGTGTTGTTAAAGCTTTCCATTCTCTTGCTTGAATGTTTTCAACATGTCTGCTTTAGGAAATGGTGTATGAAATTTGTTCTTGATGCTAAAGTTGCTTGCTCTTTGTTCTGATGCGTTGGGAATCATACTTTTTTTTTTATTGAAATTATCGTGGTGAAATACTAGACCATATACTCTCATTAGCCGAACGATTTGTCGATGTAGAAGGATCTACGCGAATCATCTTACCTAAAGAAAATGCTGGTTGTCTTGGCTGTGGAAGAACCATTGATTCACTTCCTAGGAGAACCATAACATTTGACATGGTGGGCCTGTGTTGCGGATCTTCCTGCACACACAAGAGCCCAATATGAATGCACCGAAGAACTTCGGTTTCAGAATCAATACATGATTCCAATAATATAGGATCCACAACTTCTAATCCTTTTCTATCATTCCACATCCTCCAAGCCTGTCATAGTTTAAACAAAAATAATTATATATAAAAAGTGTTATACTATACTACTAAGAAATCAAATCTTCGATTAATGAAATTACATATGCCAATAGAGTCGGGGCAAGTCCAGTTATGTAAAATCCACTATTTCTTTTTCCACTTATTATTTCAAGCATAATTACGCCAAAGCTGAAGACATCAGATTTCACTGAGAATAGTCCCTCCATTGCATATTCTGGAGCCATATAGCCACTATTTTGTATATCAGTATCTTTAACATAAAATAGTAAGGCAATGACAGAAAATAAATGAAAAGACGAGTGAGATTAAGTTGGCTTACTGTGTTCCAACAACTCTTTTTGTGTTTGCTGTATTCTGATTCTCAGAAAACATCCTCGCCATACCAAAATCTGATATTTTTGCTACTAGTTCATGGTCTAACAACACATTATTTGGCTTTAGGTCACGATGAATGATTTTAAGCCGAGATTCCTCGTGTAGATAAAGTAGTCCTCTTGCTATGCTGCCGATGATGCCATAGCATGTGTTCCAATCAAGTTTAGGACGTTTGTTTGGATCTAGGATGGTAAAGAACAAAAGTCAATCATCTTTTGAAAAATCAAACACCAATCAATATCACATTTGGAATTTTATTTATATATGAAAAGAAAACATCAACAGTAAAAAACAGACCGAATATAAATTGATCAAGGCTTCTATTTGACATGAGTTCATATATGAGCATCTTTTCATCTCCTTCTAAGACACATCCCAACAATCTCACCAAATTCTTGTGTTGAAGTTTAGCTATTAGAATGACCTCGTTTTTTAATTCTTCTATACCTTGCCAAGACTTTCTCGACAATCTCTTAACTGCTATTTCACTACCATCTGGTAGAACACCCTGCAATCAAATTCCAAAATCAAACATCACATCATGACAGTAATCTTAACTTAGGCCTCACCCAGGTTACAAAGAATTTGACCTTGTAGACCACACCAAACCCTCCGTGTCCCAACTTATTCATATCCGAAAAGTCACCGGTAGCCGCCTTAATGGTGGCCAAGGTCATAAACATCATTACATCAGAACTAACCAGTTGGCCTTCTTGTGTGACTGCTACGTTCTTAGGGCTAGAAAACTCTTGTAATAGCGTCCTTTCGCTTCTTTCTTCATCTGTTTCATTTTATTATTCAAAAACACAATTATATAGAAACAAAATAGAAGAGAACTAAGGCTCAAAATCGAAATACTTCACCTATTTCTCTGTCCTTTTTCTTCCTGAGGCAAGTAGTGCACAACCCAACAATAGCTGCTAATGTTAAAACTGAGCTGCTTATAGTCAAAATAAACATCCAAGGCTTCCATTTTCCTTCTTGAAAATTGAAAAAGCTTGTATCAAATATCTATAGACTCTAACCTTTATGGTTTTCAAATAGCATTGAATATAGCAACAAGTGAATGAATTACTTAAAAAATGTATGAACAATTTCTTGATATATTGTTAGATTCAAAAGCCTTTAATTAGTTACCTTTGGAAGTTGGGAAAATCAAAAGGGATGCTGATGATGAAGAAGCGTTAAAAAACTCAAACAGATCGAATCTAACGTTGCAATTGCGACTAACAATAATCCCTCCTTCCCTGTATGAGCAGCATTGGTTGAGTTCTGTGATTGCAGAACTCAAACAACTTCTGCATTCAGTTTCAGAAATGTCCTTTGTACATTCGACAAGTCCATAAATTCTTTTCTTGACAGAAAATTTGATTTCCGCTGTTGCAAACATGTTCTTGGAAGGACTAAAAGCAGCCTCATTTGAGATATTATTCATTAAATAATTCAAAACCTGTTGAAAACTAGTAGGATCTGAAACGCGCTTCTCTAAATCATTCTGCTTTGGATACTTTCCAGTATAAACCGTGTTTGTAAAGAACATCTGAAACGAATACCGAACTTGACAAAGTTCATACCATATCATTGCATCCTCACTCTTACACCTATTCATTAATTCCTCACTTGCTTTCTCAACACATTCTTTACAAACTGTGGAATTTGTTATGTCCCCTCTGCATAGTGCTTGTCCATACACCTTTTCTAGTCCTTCTCCTGTTGATGTATTGTTGAAGAAACTTGTGTTTGAAGCTACTATGTTGGAGGAGAGAGTTTCCATGAGAAGCTTGAGATTCTTGTCGAATGAAGTGTTGGAAGTGTAAAGTGGAAAGTTATCCGGACAATATGTATCTATAGGATTGTCTGTACCAGAAACAAAGTGGATAGATTTTAACATTAAAACGATTAACATAATCATAGCTGAAGAAATTTTATCTTTGTCCATGATCACAATTTCACTTTTCCACCAAAAGACAAAACATAAAGGTTATAGTTTATGACGAACATGGTATATTAAATATTAATTATTTTACTGATTCTTAATCAAATAATCAGCGGAACGACATTTCTAGTCATAATAAAATATAAAAGTCAATATATGACTTACATTTCAATTCAACTTTTAAATAGTTGAGCTACAATCAAAGGGTTGCTTGATTGTGATAGAAATAATATATTATAGAATAAATACCACTTTGACAGAGTCTTGATTTGTATTTTAGTAACATCTTATTATACTAAGGTCAAGGTGGTATTAAGTATCATCAATATGATAGATTCTAGATATATAAAAAATATGAAATATTTTAAGTTATCATTAACCTTATAGTCACATTATGAAGTAAGCCGTGTATTAGTCATGAGTGACTTTCATTGTATGAATAAAATATACTAATTTATTAAGAACCGATCTAAGCTAATTTGATTTCATTTGATTATTATGTTAGAAAATTTTCTAATATTTGTTGGACTACAATTAATAGTAATTTTTTGTTTTATAAAGACTGGTTGATAGTGTCATCTATTTGATGTTTATATCATATAAATGTGATTAATAATAATGGATTTTTGAACATTTAATACTAATTTGTGTTGAATAAAGTCTAAGTTTAACCATTAGGGTCTATGATGGACTATGAAGCAAGACACCTCTAGAAGTAGACGTGTTGCCGTGTCTAACACGTATCGGTGTCCGACACTTGTATGACATCCGTAGGACACGTCTCGGAAAAGACAGATAAGTATTGAAAAATCAATTAAGTGTTCCATAGTTTCAAATTGTGGTCCGCATCTGCAATTACAGCGTGATCTTCAAGCACGTGTGCGGCCACATCGTAACTGCAGCAGACTATTTCAGTCATGTTTGTTTAAATTTTCTTGCCAAAAATTAAAATTTCAAAATCCTAAATTTCAATCAGTTTCACAACGACCACATCCGTGACCTGCAATTTAAAATAATGGTTAGAGCCTACTAAAAACTCGCATGACCTGAATTCAATTCAATGATCAAATTCTGTTTGCCAAAAGATAGAATCTTTCATTTTTCAACTTTCAAACTTTGGATACAGTTTAATCGACATTTCAAAATCCTTTAGCATAATTTCTTATTCTTGCTTAGTATATAATATTCCAAATAAGTACAAACAGAAACATTTTCCTGGAAATTAATTATAGCCACTTGGCTCTCAAGTTTGAATCAATAACAAGCTTAGCTATTTCCTGGTAATTTAACATGTTTTACTCAACATATTGAAAGAGAACTACCAACTTTATTTAGAATCACAAGCAGAAAAATAACATGATTCATCATCATCTTACTGTTTCCAAATCCATTCAATTCATCCTTCTTTTCTGCACTCTCTATTTTCTTTCTTTTGTCGCCTTTGCAGATCCCCCTTATGAAACTTGTTCCACAAGAAACAGCTATACAAATCGAAGTTCTTTCGAGAACAATCTAAGCAACCTCCTTCACTCTTTACCCTCTAATGTTTCAGCTTCAATCTCCAAATTCGGTAATACTTCTTCAGGAATTGGCCTAGATAGAGTTTATGGTCTCTACATGTGCCTTGACTTCGTTTCAAACGAAACTTGCCACAAATGTGTAACAAACGCAATAGAAGACATAGTAAAACTTTGTCATCAATCAGAAGAAGCAGTTGTATATGAAGAATTCTGTCAATTACGTTATTCAAATAAAAATTTCATAGGCTCCTTGAACGTTACCGGGAACATCGGGAAAGATAATGTACAGAATATTTCGGAACCCGAGAAATATGAATCTGTTGTGAATAAGATATTGAATAATCTTACTGAGATAGCGTCCTCTAACGTTTCTTCGAACATGTATGCTACTGGAAAAGTAGCTTTTGACGATAAAACAGTATATGCTTTAGTGCAGTGTACACAGGATTTATCAGCCAATGATTGCAGTAAGTGTCTGCAAAGTGCTATTGGAGATATACCAGGTTGTTGCTATGCCTCCATTGGTGCACGAGTTTGGAGTCGTAGCTGTTATTTGAGATATGAGTTTTATCCATTTTATCTTGGTGGAACAGAATCCACAAGTTCTTCAACTAACCATGGAGGGAAAAGTAAGCATTTTTTATGTTTCAACACTATTCTTAAACATTCTGTCAAAGCCCGTTTTGATTGATTTTTTATGTAGATAAATCAAGAAAAATATGGATGATTACTGCTATTGCAGTTGGGTTAGTCTTGGTGATAATAATTATCATTTTCTACTTATGCTTTATCAGAAATTGGAAAAGTAAGTTGTTTGATTTATCATCTTTTATCAAGCTTTCAAGCTTTTTTTTCTTTTTTTCTATGAGATGAATCTTCATCTTTTTTATCCTATGATTTGTAACAGTCGTAATTTATTTGTTTCTTGTCATTAGGAAGGAACGGACAAGGTAATATATCTAACGATTTCCCTTTTATTGATATTGGTTCTCTTTGCGTGGCTACCAAAAACTTCTCCGATTCAAATAAGCTCGGGCAAGGTGGATTTGGTCCTGTTTACAAGGTAAATATAATTAAGTTTATTCTCCATTTTTTCATGAATGATTATCATCATAGGGAAGTTTAGATATAGTTTTGTTTCTTTATTTGTAGGGTATACTTAGTGACGGCATGGAAGTGGCAATCAAGAGGCTCTCAACTTGTTCTGAGCAGGGTTCAGAAGAATTCATCAATGAGGTTATGTTGATATTGAAACTTCAACACAAAAATCTTGTAAAGCTTCTGGGATTTTGTGTTGATGGAGAAGAGAAGCTTCTTGTTTATGAATATTTGCCCAATGGTAGCCTTGATATTGTCCTTTTTGGTACGTAAATATATTCCATTTTTCACCGATTATATTTATCATCAAACTGTGCTAGACCCTAATGTTTCGTACGTTTCTATTGATCCAGAGCAAAGTGCACATCTTGATTGGACTAAACGTGTTGATATAATAAATGGAATAGCAAGAGGCGTTCTCTATCTTCATGAAGATTCTAGACTTAAAATAATACATAGAGATCTAAAAGCAAGTAACATATTGTTGGACTGTGACATGAATCCAAAGATTTCAGACTTTGGCATGGCAAGGATATTTGCAGGAAGTGAAGGCGAAGCTAACACTACCACGATAGTTGGAACATAGTAAGCACTTAGTTAGTTCCTTGCATCAACATTTTTTCCTTTTCATATGTTTACATGCTTAACAATTCTATTTTGCAGTGGATATATGGCTCCAGAATATGCAATGGAGGGTCTATATTCTATAAAATCTGATGTTTTTGGCTTTGGAGTACTATTGCTTGAGATCATTACAGGTATTATTGTTTTTGATAGAAACCTTAGATAAGATAAAAGTATATAAAACGTGAAAATGTCGATTACATCAAGAACAACTAACTAATGTAACTAACTTTTACATCTAATGACAGGTAAACGTAATGCAGGTTTCTGTTACTCCAAAAGCACTTCTAGTCTACTAGCATATGTAAGTGTCCATAATCAATTTACTACACGAGTGAGTGACCGATGATTATTTCTTAACATCATTTGTTAATGATTTTGCAGGCATGGCATCTATGGAACAATGGAAAGGGATTCGAATTAAGGGATCCGTTATTATTATGTCCCGAAGACCAGTTTTTGAGATACATGAATATTGGATTGCTATGTGTTCAAGAAGATGCATTTGATAGACCAACCATGTCTTCTGTTGTTTTGATGTTGATGAATGAATCAGTAATGCTTTGCCAACCTGAAAAACCTCCTTTCTCGGTAGGGAGACTCAATGTTATTGATCCAAATGTCCTAGATTTGGAAGATTACTCGGTCAATCTGTTAACTATTTCTGATATCTTACCCGTGTAATGTAAATCAATGTAGTCTTTAGTACCGTGTTGTGCGGATTAAGAAGCACCAATGTAACGTTCATAACTTGCAAGCTGTGAATTATTAGAACACACGCATTCATTTAGTTGTTATTTCTGTTTTACTAGTTTGTTAGAAAGTTAGTTTGTTATTAGCGATGCGCATTGAATTAGTGTACGCCAGCATGATGGTAAATGTCGTGCGAACTATATATGATAACTTGGAGAAGTTCACTTTTGAATTCATAGGAGCAAAAAGTTCTAGAATTCATTATCATATAGAGAGGAGTTGGAAGTAAATCCTGATAAATACAGAACCAACCTTCAACTAGCACTAGGTCGACTCTATTTGATTGTAACATACGACACCATCGACTCTATTTTTCTCATTACTTTATCATGCTCATAATCTGATCATAGGTTGATGATACAGAACAAAATGAAAATATATATTATTTTTTAACTTAATGAAAAAAAAAAATAGAGATTTAAAATTACTATTAATAGTTTCCTTCTCCCAAATCCATCAGAAAAATGTCAAGTCTCCCATGTGACTTGTTCTTTGCTAATATTTAGATTCTAACTCTCCTCACTCCCTCTACTTCCATAACCTTACTCTCCAAGTCTTGTCACCATTTTTCTATTTTTATCATTTCAATCTCTTAAATTTCTCTCAACATTAACATCATAATGTTTCCACATTAATGTTAATTAATTTCACCTAGAGTGTCACTCCTACCTCTTCAATTAATTACAACAATTCCATCATGCAAATAAAAGAAAGATCGACAACACAATAAATAAAAACATGTCAAACACATGGATATATAAATTGTTATCATCACTAATAACATTGTTGATAATTTCATCTTGTGTCTATGTATGTGAAGGTCAAGCAGAGATGGCGACGGCTCTTCCTCCGGCCGCAGAAACATGTAACGGAGTTTATATTTCCTACACACTACACGACCGAAGGAAGGAATTTCCCCGTGTCAAGAATGTCACGGCGCAATCATGGGCCTTTAATGCGACCGCAACGGTTCTCAACACGGGGAAAGATGTTCTTAAATCATGGAAGTTGTTTATAGGATTTCAACACGATGAGATCCTTATCTCCGCCAACGGAGGTATCCCGTTTACAGCGGGAGAGTTTCCCGCGGAAGTCGGAAATGGGACAACCTTAGTTGGAAGCAATTTACCAGATTTAGAAACTTCTATTAATACAGCTAATGATTTGAACCAAATTCAAGCATTGATTGAAATTTCTGGTACACAGTTTGGAATTAAGCCACCTGGAGTTCCAATGCCTAAAACCATCAAGTTGGAAAATGATGGATATATGTGCCCTCGACCAACGACGCGTAGTAAGTCATTTTCTTCTTTCAAACATTAGATGCAGTTTTGATCACTCGCTCATCATTTTTGGCTATCTATGTTGTTTTGTTTATGATTTTGGTCACCTCTCGGTTTATATACATCTTGCGGTCGCGATTGTGTCGCGGTTGCAATCATTGCGATGATGGTAACACCTCTGACTAAAGGCGTGTCTAAGTGAGTGTCTCTGTTAGAAATCGACACCAACATATGTGATTTTGTTTTATTTATTTATTTTTTAAAATTATTACAGTGTTGAGTGTTTGTGCTTTATAGTTTTCTAGTTCCATTACTTGTTACTAACTAGAAAAACATGTAATTCTCTATTTGATAGAGAGAACCATGCAGGCATGTTGTAAAAGGGATCCAAAAGCCAAAAAAAAAGTTATAAAGACAAAATTCATACCACGTCAAAAAGGTGACCTAACAATATCCTATGATGTTCTTCAATCATATGACAACAACTATCTTGTTGAAGTAACAATGGAGAATCATAGTCCTTTAGGACGTTTAGATCGTTGGAACCTAACATGGGAATGGACAAGAGGTGAATTCATACAACAAATGAAAGGCGCATTCCCGCGCGAGATGGATTATTCAGGTTGCGTCTATGGTCCTCCTGGACAACATTACAGAGACATGGATTTCTCTCAAGTTTGGAATTGTCAAAAACATCCTGTGATCAGTGATATGCCACCAGAAAAATATAATGATACTGATCTTGGTAAAATACCCTTTTGTTGTCGAAACGGTTCGCTTTTACCTATAATCATGGATCCATCACAATCCAAATCCATTTTTCAAATGCAAGTTTTTAAATCTCCACCTGATCATTTGGATAAAACTTCTCTTTTTCCACCAGCAAAATGGAAAGTAACTGGTGTTCTTAACCCGGCTTATGTTTGTGGACCGCCGTTGAAAGTCCAACCGACGATATTTCCAGACAAAAGAGGACTGGATGCTATAACCTATGCTGTTGCAAGTTGGCAAATAGTTTGCAATATAACAAAACCTAAATATAGAACAACTAGATGTTGTGTTTCCTTTTCTGCTTTCTATAATGAATCTGTTGTTCCATGCAACACGTGCGCATGTGGTTGCGATGAAGACGAAGATAATGGCCGTTGTAACCCTAATGCAAAATCAATGTATTTACCTTCAGAAGCACTTCTTGTTCCTTTTGAAAATCGAACGAAGAAGGCGATTGCTTGGGCTAAGTTAAAGCATTTTTATGTGCCTAAGAAGTTACCATGTGGTGATAATTGTGGAGTTAGCATAAACTGGCATGTAGCTTCTGATCATAAAGGTGGTTGGAGTGCAAGAATCACTTTGTTTAATTGGAGGTCATTTTTTTTCAAGGATTGGTTCACTGCCTTGCAGTTCAAGAAAGGTGTTTCTCATGGTTTTGAGCAAGTTTATTCTTTTAATGGAACTTTTCTTAGAAAATTCAACAATACTATTTTCATGCAAGGAGTAGAAGGAGCAAACTATTTGATAGGTTTAGATAATGATACAAATCCAAAGGTTCCTGGAAAACAACAATCTGTTATTTCTTTTACAAAAAAGTTTATGCCAAATATGAGAATAGCTAAAGGTGATGGCTTTCCTACAAAGGTGCTTTTCAATGGAGAAGAGTGTTCCATTCCAACTCATATTCCTATCAGTGGAAACCAACATAGTGTATATTTAGTACAACAAGTTTTAATCTTAGTTTTAGCTTTTACAATGATTCAAATATTGTATTAGGGTTAGGATGCCATTGTTAACAACAATTTATTTAGACTTTTTTTTATGAATCTAGCTTTGCTTAGTTATTTTCCCTTTATCTTACGCTGGACTCTTTATATTTAGACAAAAATATATATTCCCTCCCTTTCAAATTAGAAGATATTTTTGTATCTTTTACACAAATTAAAAAACATAATAATTGTTGTACGGAAATAACAAATTATGCATGATTTTATAATATTATCTTTCATTTATTATAGATGAAAGACAAATTTAAAGAATTGAAAAAAAAAATAGTAATAAATAATAGATGATATCTTGAGAAAATGACTTATAATTTGAGATAGAGAGAGTACCTAGTAACAATCAAAATTGTTGATAATTTGAGACATTGATATATTCATTAACTTACTTTTAAACTATTAAACTATGATAACTATCTTAGTTAATTTGAGCTTGTCATAATAATAAAAAGAAAACTTAAATATTTTTAAAAACACTTAGTATTTTGATCTCATTATTTAACTTTTTATAAGTTTTTTATCCCCTCCCTATTTTGTATACGTGGCTTCTCAAAATATGTAGTGTCATGTCATTAAATCCTTTTAATCTCAAAAAAAAAAATTTCATATTATACTTTTGACTTAATTGTAATTTTGATCCTCTTATTTTATATTTTTTTAGATTTTGATCTTCCATTTTAAAAATCACGATTTTGATATTTTTTTTTAATTTTGTGTTGGATTTTAATCTTTTTTTAAAGACTAAAATCCAACACAAAAACTTAAAAAAGAAATAAACAAAATTGTTTTACTATTAAATACAAAAAACAAATTATTTCCTATTAATTCAAATTCACATAAACTCTAAAACACCATCACCTTCTTTACGATCATCTTCTCCGAAGCCTTAAAAAATATATTCTCATAAGCTCAAATTAATTGTACATCATGTTGATTATATTAAGACATATGTTCAGTTACACAATCTTCATTTTCAACATGATGTTTTATGAAATGGTGTCTAACCTCAATGTGTTTTATCTGAGAGTAAAGTAACCAATTTTTCGTGAGATTTATGGAACTAGTGTTGTCGCATTTCATCTATATGATTTGCACGCAACATCTACCCGCAACAATTCCTCAATTATGGATAGTGCTACACTTGCTTATTTCGTGTTATGCCAAAGGTAAACATTTCTTCAGTCTCTTGCATTACACTATTTCTTCTATGTTCTTGTTTTCATGCGTGAGTTCTTTCTCTGTCGCCATAAGTATCATTAAGGCTTCATCAAAAGGCAATAAATTTGGAAATAGTCCAACAACATGTTGGTGATTTTAGTATCACCAATGTATTTTAGTAGTAATGTGATTTATTGTAGGCCGATGCAATTATGCATTAAGCTTGGAAACGAGTTAGGGTAGTGCGGAGTGCACGCTCGTAGAGCCAACGTGTAATTGAATGCGAATAATTGAAAAGGGGTTCCAAGGGGCGAAGCCCCTGGCGGGGTGCGGGGCGAAGCCCCGTGGGGTTCCAAGGGGCAGAGCCCCTGGCTGGGGTCCCGCTGAACGTTTGAACCCGTTCGAAATTTTTGAACCGTTGTGTCTTTTCAATTTCTGTTATTAATCTCCTATATAAGGAGTCATTTGGCCTCAGTTTTAACGGACATAATAACGAAAATCATACTTTCTCTCTACATTCCTGATTTGTTCTCTATTGTCAGAAGCAGATTGTTCTTCAAGAATTATCCCCACAAAGATTTCGTGAACCCAGGCAAATAATAGGGTCGAAATACTTTGTTCGGAAAGTGTACGAACACGATTCCTTGAAAATATCCAAGATTATCATACCAAAATTTCTAACACAACAAATGTTTTCATCACTAGGATAATAGAGAGAACTATAGAGGGAAAAATGAGTATCCACCAAAAAGTGATTCAACAATGGTTCATGGAGAAAAGCTTCATGAAAAGTTACAATCTGTATATCTAGCTTTGTCAAAACACATTAAGGGAGTTCTTCACAAAGTTACCTGAAAGATTCATTCCAAATCTTATGAGAAAGTTTTATTCAAATTTGTAATTTGTTGTAACATCCTAAATATCATTTGTAAAAAAATTCTATAAATAGTCTAATTTTAATTTAAAAGTAATACATTTACGAATAATAAAAATGTTAGGTGAGACATCAAATTTAGATTTAAAAGACGAAAGTCTTCATAATTGGAATCAATTTTTATGCTTTTTTGTTATTTTTATTAGATGCGGCTTTGATGCTCTTTTGTTTTGCTTTAATGGATTTTCGAATCTTTAATTTGTGTATGAGGAGTGACTTGTCGTAAGAGGATAATATATAAGGTACATTGATGCGACTATTATTTTTTGAATTCCCTTTGATATGAATTTTATCATCTGATGATGTTCTGTTAGTCTTCATTTAGTAATGTGAATTTTTGTTTTTGTTTTCTTGTATGGTTTACCATTGATGTTGTCATCGTCATTTTCTCTTCCATGTTTTACTTCTTCTTTTTCTTTTTCTTCATCTTCTACTTGATCATCTTCTTTAATTTGAATTACTGGTGGTGATATAGACTCCTTTATGTAATAAGTATATTGTCGGGACTAATAAAATTAGTAATATATTTGTGTGATTGTAGTACAAATTTAATGCTTAATGGGTGTTTTCAAAATTGATTCTTGTAGAATGGTGGTTGGTACAAATTAAAGTAAGTGAAAATGTGTAGATTTGCGACCCTTCTTTTAAGTTTTTTTTTGCAGACAACGTTATCTAAAAAATAAGAGTACGATGACATAGGTTATGTAGTATTGATGGTGTAGTCGTATTAGCTTGTTGTTGCAAGAGCATTTGAGTTATGTTGTTGAGTAGTTTTTGTGCCTCTTGATCAAACAATGTCAAAGTTAGTTTAACAATTTTATCAGACACTTTCAACATTATCTTAAAAATGTGATTAAATGTTTTTATATTGTTTTAAATAAGATTTTTTGATAAGATGGTTTATCATTGCAAATGTCTAACTTTGGGTTTGGATACTTGAAAGGTGTTTCACACGATGGACATTTCAATTCATGGCCTTCTTGTATAAGTTTCTTCATAAATTTTCCACATGCAATGTAATGTCATCCAAACTATTGTAAATTGCGATGCCTTAAAACAAAATATATTCGGTTTCTTTATAGGTAAGAAACACACAAGGGTTATGGTTAACAAGGAAAAATAATACGGATTGATTATAATTGTTATTCTTTAATTTCTCTATAAAACAGATTACAAGTACTCAAGAATAACAAATAACCCTCTCACCCTAATTAGGTTTTGTCACACCACACTTAAGATGAGAGATTAGTATGCTATTTATAATAAAACCTAACATACTAAACTAATGGGCTTCTTAGCAATTACCTATTACAAGATAACTTAGGGTACAAGCTAACTTAAACAATTGGCTCCTTAACACAAGACCCAATTCGACAACTACATACTAGAACATAATTCGACTACAACATGTAGGTCTTCGGCAACAGTATGTGAGCAAACTTCGACGACATGCTAACTAGAGTTTGATCCAATATCTCACAAATCTCCACCTTGGATCTAACTCTACCATCAAGAAAAAAACTAGCTTTCTTCATACAGCTTTATCAACTGCGTATAGTGGAAAAACTTGCAACTGGGCAACGTCTTAGTGATCATATCAGCAACATTATGATTTGTTGAAACCTTAAGCACTTGGACTTCTCGACACTCGATTACCCCTCTGAAAAAACGTAATCTCACATCAATGTGCTTGGTTTGCTCATGATAGGCTGAATTCTTCGACAGGTGTATTACACTTTGACTATCACATTTAACAGTGACAACTCAACCTTAAAGTTTAAGCTCATTTCCAAAACTTTCAAGCCACAATGTTTCCTTCACAACTTTAGTTAGGGCGATATATTCTGCTTCAGTGATTGATAATGCAACAACCTTCTGAAGTGTTGTTTTTCAACTGATTGTTATGCCAAACATAGTGAACACATATCTAGAAATAGATTTTCTGGAATCCATACAACCTACATAATTTGAATCGACATATTCTTCGATTTATGCTTTACTATCTTCACCCAAGGCTCCACCATAAATTAGGACTCTTTTCAGAGACCCATTTATGTACCTTAGAATCCACTTCAATGCTTGCTAGTGAGTCTTTCCAGGATTCACCATGCACCTGCTTACAAGACTTACTGCATATGCTATGTCGGGTCTAGTACATACCATAACATACATCAAAGAACCCACTATATTGGCATAGGAAATGTTATTCATATAAGCTCTTTCGACATCAGTACTGAGAAACTGATCTATATTCAGCCTTAATTGATGGTTTGCCGGAGTCACAACAGGCTTTGAATTCGACATACCAAACTTTTCGAGAATCTTTCGTAGGTATGTCTCTTGAGATAAGCATAATTTCGACTGCTTTCTATCTCTTCGAATGTCAATCCCAAGAATCCTGGACGCAGCTCCCAGATCCTTCATGTCAAACTCCTTATTGAGTTCAACCTTCACCCTCATTACATCTTCGACATTGTTGCTTGCTATTAGAATATCATCCACACAAAGCAATAAAATAGCAAATGAATTATCAGGTCGAAATCTGAAGTAAACACAGTGGTCGAACTGACTTCTAATGAAACTTATGTGTGTCATGAACTTGTCGAATCTTCTATTCCACTGTCGAGGAGATTGTTTCATTCCATTTAAGAATCTCCTCAGCTTGCACATATAATCTTCCTTCCTATTTTTGACATACCCTTCATGTTGCCTCATCATGATTGTTTCATCTAGATCACCATACAAGAACGCAGTCTTCATATCTATTTGTTCTAGTTCAAGGTCAAACTGTGTCACCATGGCAAGTAACATTCGAATGGATATGTGCTTCACAATAGGAGAGAACACATCATTAAAGTCGACACCTTCTTTTTAAGTGAAACCCCTAGCGTCCAATCTTGCCT